TCCCACTGCTGCGGCGCTTGGCACGGGCGCGGCGCCCCCGGGGACCCCGCCGTCCCCAGGCCGCACAGGCAGCCCAGCGTCCAGGCCCAGAGGCCTCCCAGCAGCCAGGCGCCCAGAGGTCCCCCGGCCACGCGGAGGGGAGCGCGCCCTGGCATCGCGGGCCGCCGCAGCCCCAACCCTCGAGGGTGAGCCCGAGCCCAAGGGGGCGCTGAGACGTCCGGGCGCACTGGGACGCCCCACCGGTTCCCTCTGAGCTGTGCCGGGACTGTGGTCTGGGGCGAAGGTGCTTCCTGTCCCCGCGGTGGCCTCTGTTGTTGTTGACTCAGGACGTGCCAGCCCAGGGAGCCGGGATTAGGGGCCTGGGAAGGCTCCAGTGGATCGCGCGGGAGCTATTTCTGCATTGGCCGCTGCCGGCTGCCGCTTCTGTTTTCCCTGCTCACTGCTGCCAACAGGAAATGCAGTGGCAGTGGTGCCACTAGCATCCTGAAAGGCATCGTGCTTGCGGGAGGGGAGGGGTGGGGTGGGGGGGTCGATGCTGAGAAGGGGTATGTTTCTCCACTAACTGCAATGTTCAACAGGTAATCACATACTGGGGGGCAATTTTAAGGTCGAGATCTGGAAAACAAAGCGGCTGAATTTGCTGTGCCCCCACATACCTTGCTCCTTGTCAAAATTGCAACCTTTTTCCTTCAAGTTAAAACTGGAAAAATGGGTCCTTTCCTGAAGAATTACACTAGCTATTCATGATGGCCGCTTCTCAGCTCTCACTCTAGGTAAAGGGTCTGGGGACTAGGGAACAGGCACTTCATTGGGCCTAGGACTCTCAAACATTGCCTCAAAGTCAATTTAGTGATACTGCTTCCCTTCCCTCACCTGGCGATACCACAAGCTAAGAGGTTTGTGTGTCTGGGGGTTAGCCTCATCAAGAACACAGTTAATTGGGTTTATGTTTACATAATGTTAGGATCTACAGTATGAAATCCAGAAAAAAAAAAAAGGGAACAACAACAAAAAAGAAGTCCTTGCTTTCCAAATGCATAAATTCTTTCCATTTAAGCTGCATTTCAAGGATGAGGAAAACTGAACCAGGTAAAAGTGGAAGAGAACATTCCTGAACAAAGAATATAAGGACAAAAAAAATGGGTTCAATATTGGGGTTCAAGTACAAGGCAGAAGGGTATTCTGGAGCCATAGCACTCATTTTAGGGATTTAAGGATTTTAATATTGAGGAGAGTGGGAACCGTCAATCAACCTAAAGCTAGGGAGGGACATCATCCATGTGCCTTGGGAAGCTCACTAAGGTGACAGTGTAGAGAATGGGTAGGGCCAGACTGAAGGCCGGGAGAGAAGGAAGCTGCTGTTATTGTCCTGGCAAGAGATCCTGACTGAGCTAAGGTGGTGGCAGTGGGAATGGAGAGGGTGGAATGCAGTTGGGAATTATGGAGAAGAGTTTAGACTCGCAGGAGAAGTTTCCGGTTTGGGCCACTAAACGTTCAGTCCTAAAGGAGAGATGATACATTCTGCTTAAGACTGGCTGACTTTGAGGTGATGATGAGATAGTCAGGTAGAAACATTCATGGGACAGATGGAGAGATACTTCCAGAAACCAGCAGGACTTTTGGATTTGAAAGCTATGGGCTCATAGGTGGTCATTGAAGCTAAAGAGTAGAACACAGGTTCCTGGACCAATTTTGATTCCCAAGGGATATTTTGGAAATATCTGGAGACATTTGTGACTGTTACCACAGGGATGGGGGAAAGGCTGTCACTGGCATTTAGTGGGGGAAAGGCCAGGAATTCTATGACACTTCTACAATGTACAGGAGAGTTCCCACAACACCACCACCAAAATAAAAATTATCTAGCCCCAAATGTCACAATTACTTAAACTAAGAAAACCTGCAGGGAAGGAAGGTTTGGGAGTGAGAAGAAGGCTGAGGATGGAGTCCTAGAGAACATTTAAAGGATGGGCAGAGAAGCAGGCACTTGAGGAAACCAAAAGGATTCAGCACAGAGAAGCCACTGAACAGGGGAATTTCCTTAGCTACCTAGCTTTGGCAAACAAATGTAAGATGTGGAGAGCATGGATTGAATGCTAAAGTAAGGTATTCCAGACTCACAATATCCCTGAAGGGCGTGAAGAGGAAGGACAATTGACAGGTTCTCCTCATGCATTCATTCCTCTCTGTAGAATAACTAGAGACAGACTACCAGTGGGCCTAATGGAGTGAACAAAGAGCTTTAAGGAGAAGGTCTTTCCATTTCCCCTCACCCCTTCTTAAAGAAAATGCATCAGGAAACATCAGGGAAGCCTATGAAACTTTAAGACTTAGTGCTTGCAGAGTTAATCAGATATAGCAGGTTCAAACTGGCTGCAGAAATTTAAGCCCTCTCCAAGTTTGTCCTACTCAAACAACTCATAGGAAAACGATAAGTAGTTCAGCTGCTTCTCTTATTCCCTTGGTAGGAACTTCAGCTGAAAATCTTTTTTACTCAGCAAGGGGTTTGGTCCCTGAATTTTATGGCTGGAAATGGTTTGAGATGTCATCTGGGCTATCCCCCTTGCTTGATATTACCAACCCGGTTTGGAATCTTCAGAGCCTGACTTGATACCTGTTCTACAGGGAATTAGGATACCTCTTTAGATTGGCCTAGACGCTGCAGGCTTCCCTAAACAGAACCAGATTCTTTGGGTAAATCCTGAAATGCATTTGTTTATCTTTTTAACTTACTATATTTAATTCAAGTTCCCTAGAAAATAAGACAATGAATTTCAAGTACTCAGTCCCATACCTTACCCACTGTAAATTCCCAAAAGATGTTAGTTGTGCTTGTTTCTCCAGCTATTTTAATCCTTAGTCCTGGTGAGGATCAACACTAAAATAACTTTGTGGGTTTAAGCTCTGGAGAGGAAAGCCTGCCTGCCTTAAAATCAGGTTAAACTATCTTTTTAAAGATTAACTTTCTGAGAACATATGGAAACTTAGTGTATACTGCTGATGCACTAAGAAAATATAGAGCAGAAGTCTCACTGTCTGAAGACTAATATACACTTAACAACAATAAAGCCTCCTTTTTCTGTGGGTAGCTGACCCAACAGTTGATTTTACTATCTTTTCCTAATGCAAATAAGAGAAAACAAAGCACACATACTTGCTTTCTGTGGTACACAGCCTCTTACTCATTTCAAATATCAGTCTCCAAGCACATCAAAAATCAAGATTTTAGGCTGCTGATTTGGAAATCATTTGGCATGAAAGGGGGAAACGATATTTCAGATGGTGGCGTCCAAAGTTTTCTTTGATTTCTCCGGGGTTGCATTCATGATAAAGAGGGGAACAGGGAGTTTGAAGACAGGGGGAATGTTGGTAGACATTCCTCAAGCTAGAAGATGCTATTACACCTTCCCACGGTTCTGTTAAGTTCCTAGAGCAGACACAAACCAAGTGCTATGCTGGAAAAACTGCAGCCAAAACTAATGTCTACTGGCAACAACAACAAAACAAACTCCACAAACTTGGGACGCGGTGGGAGAGGTTTATATAAAGTGGCCATCCTGTTCCAACATTTACTGCTCTATCTCCTGGCCCCACACGGTAGTCTCACTAATGTCCTCAGAGTGCCTCATGCCCCCTACTGGAGATAGCACGTATATTTCGGAATTGGAGGCAGCAGATGTTCCATTTCCCTCCAACCCGGTTCTTGGGGAAATTCTAAGGCAGCAGGCGCAAAGTCCCGCTTTCACACTCAGAAGAGCTCCTTTCTCTCGCTCTGGAAGTTTTCTCCCGCACCCTCTTGTATCTGGTGTCCAAAACGACTGCCAGAGGAACTTCTTCTTGGTCAGACTAAAAAGGAGGACTTTGGGGTAATGCAGGATTGCAGCCCAGGGCTGAGGCCCGGAGGGGATGATGTCACCGCTCCTACCCGGAGAGGTCTGGGGGTGGGGCAGCCAAGGGGGAGCCCGCGCCGCGCCGGCAGTTGCCAAGGGAGAGTTCCAAGCCCACGTCAGGGGAGGTGTCGGGATAAATAGGGTCCCGCAATGGCCGTGGCCGGAGGCGCTCCGAGCTGCGGGGTCCAGGATTGGAGCTGCCCGGGCGGGTTCGCGCCCAGGAGACTGAGGGCTGGCGCTGCTCGTGCTCAGGGCGCGGGACGGCGGAGATCCGCGGCGGGATCCTGCGGCCCCGCCATTGCCTCCGACTGGAGTTTGGGGAACGAACCTTTCCTGTGCCCCCAAAGGACTTTCTCCTCGGAGAAGGGACAGATAAAGACGAGAGGGGGCGGGACGTGAAGGGCTCTTTCTGCCTGTCAGGGTCGCAGCGCGGAAGGGCAGTGCCATGCTCCTCTCCATCCTGGTGGCGTTGGGCCTGTGGCTGCGCCTGGCGCTGGGCGTGCGCGGCGCGCCCTGCGAGGCGGTGCGCATTCCCATGTGCCGGCACATGCCCTGGAACATCACGCGGATGCCCAACCACCTGCATCACAGCACGCAGGAGAATGCCATCCTGGCCATCGAGCAGTACGAGGAGCTGGTGGACGTGAACTGCAGCGCTGTGCTGCGCTTCTTCCTCTGCGCCATGTACGCCCCCATCTGCACCCTGGAATTTCTGCATGACCCCATCAAGCCGTGCAAGTCGGTGTGCCAACGCGCGCGCGATGACTGCGAGCCTCTCATGAAGATGTACAACCACAGCTGGCCCGAGAGCCTGGCCTGCGACGAGCTGCCCGTCTACGACCGCGGAGTGTGCATCTCCCCTGAAGCCATCGTCACTGACCTCCCAGAGGGTGAGGCTTGGGAAAGGATGGAAGGGGGCGAGGAGGCACCCGGGGATGCCGCTGCCGCTTGAGAACTGGGGGCCACACCTGAGTCTGCTAGGGAGTGGTCTGCCCCCTAATCCCACTTCACTTCCAGGCTTAGAGGAGTGGGAAGAGAGGTGTGCGGGGTCGGGGGTGGGTGGGATTCCCTTCTGAAAGAGGCAGATTTCCCTACAGGAACTTTAGAAGCTAGGAAATAACATCCCGCTCCACAAAGAAAAAAGAAATAATTCCTCACAAAGGGAGCCATTGGCAATATTTTCACTTACAGTAATAACAGGAATAATAATAGCAGCAAACAGGTATTGCTATATACCTGAGAAAGTGTCAAGCACATTACACTTATAACTAAGTGAATGCGCAAAATAATCTCAAGAAAAAGGTGTTAATACTCTTTCCACTTAGTGCTACTTCTGAAAAGTTCTTTGTGAAAAAGTTATGGTCGTTGCTCCCTACCAGGAGTGAGGAACATGCAGTCACCCTGGAAAAATAGTGAGGTCTGTTTGATGGTCATTGACCAGGAGCCAACCACTGTGGCATTTTAACGGATCTGATCTCTGCTTCCACTTCCTTCTTTTCTCTTTGGTCATTTGGTTGCTTTTCTAGGAAGAAGGAGCGGATTTAAATTCACTTCTTGAAATGAAACCAAAGAATATTTTTGCATGGTTTTAATCCAGGCTTTCTCTGATCCAGGTTACTCCGCATTTAAAGAGACAGTAATACTGGGTTGCTGTAGTGTTGTCTCTGAAGTTATACCTGGGAGCATTGTCCTACACATCAAGGAGGAGTGGCTCAATGAAAAGCAAATTGAAACTCCTCTTGAATTCAGAGTTTTAGAAAAAAACATTTATTGCTTAAATTGTATAAATGATAGAGGCTTATGCTTGGTTTTGACTATGTAGCTGTGGATTGTTTCTGTGCTGCAGAATATGGAGGGGGGTTGGAAATATTTTGGTTATTTTGATTAGTATAAACTATCAACTTGGAAAAAAACCTAAGTTTTATATGACTTTGGGAAGGAGTGATATGATTGATCCAGATTGACTATGTGTACCAGCCAGTTTAAATGGATGTACACTGACACCAATTTGTGCTGGGATAAGCAAAGTCTCATCCAAAAAACTTCTTTCCTAAGCCCTGGAGTTTCATTATGAAAGAAGTAGTTGACAATCTCATGTCATTTTTACTATTAAGTGGTATTCTTCTGTGATGCTGTGTTAGTTTATATCTTCAGATGCTTCCTTATTCCATTTGAGTGAACAGACAAAATCACTAACCACACCCATGTGGCCCTGTTTGTGTTTCAGATGTTAAGTGGATAGACATCACACCAGACATGATGGTACAGGAAAGGCCTCTGGATGTTGACTGTAAACGCCTAAGCCCTGGTGAGTTCTTCTCTCTTTAAGGTACCCCTACTTCTCCTCCCCAGAGGGATTTCTTTATACGTTTCCAAATGTTTCTACCTCTTTTTACTTTTTTAGATCGGTGCAAGTGCAAAAAGGTGAAGCCAACTTTGGCAACGTACCTGAGCAAAAACTACAGCTATGGTAAGTCATCGAATAAAGTTATTTACTCTTGAGACTTGGCACATCGCAAAAGTTGGAATCTCAATAAGGTTGTTCCTGCTAAAGCCAGATCTACCAGTCACAAAGTAAAGAAGAGGATTGGTGACTTTTCTAGTTAACTGTGTGCGTTCTGAATAGCACAATATTAATGGGAAAACTTCTTGTTTTTCTGGGTAAATAAAATGAAAACAAAGGAAATTACCCAGATGTTAACAGTTACGTGGATCAGGTTAAAAGTTTGATATCTTGATCTTCTTTGCCTTGGTGAGAAGTACTGCTCAGCCCAGATAGTACACCTTACCTGATCTCTTCCTGAGGCTTCATTGCTGCAGGAGGGATGGGGGAGTCTTCCAAAGATTTGATTATCTGAAGCCCAGAGAATTAAGGCCCAGAAACCCAGACAATGAAGACTGCTTATGTATCTTTTTACTTTTAAAAAAAGCTACAAATATTTAACATCTTAAATTGTAAGGAAATATGTTAATCACAAAACCCTTATGGCTACACTATTGAAATACTTGAAATGCCCTTCTCTCTCTTATTTGAAAGGATCATTCAACATTCTCTTCAAATAATAAGTCAGTCATGATATTTGGAATGTTTGAAGTTATTTTAATTCTACTACCATTAATTTATAAGTAAATTTAAATAAAAATATATTATTTTTAAAAATCTGTTAGGGCTGGCTATTTTATATTTCACTGCATGTCTTAAATTATTTCTACTGAAATAACCAAAAACTGCTGTGAGAAAACTGTATATTTTGTTAACTTAGTTTTCATACTTCAAGCTGAATTTTTATATCAACAAGGAACTTTAGGATACATATCATATATGAAAGCAGAAAGAATACAGCAGCATGGAAACCTAAAAAAAAATAACTAGACTGTCAGATTTGAAAATCATACCCAACCAATATGAGTAATTCAACAAAAAGATACTTTATCTTTTCCAGTAGTTTTTTTTTAAATCTTAAAACCTGTTTTATGTAGATATCATCTTAATCTGAGCTTCCTAGTCTCTCATTTATCAAGATCCAGTCCTAGGTACAAATCAGAGTTTCTCTGTCATGCTGTTCTCTAGGGTGTCATGGCTTTGGAAGTACCTTGATAATGAAACTATTTTCTTTTTTTTCTTTTTTTTTTTTTTGAGTTGGAGTTTCACTCGGTCGCCCAGACTAGAGTGCAGTGGCCGCTCCCGGCCACCGCAGCCTCGCCTGCTGGGCTCCAGCGATCCTTCCATCTCAGCCTTCC